CACGAAACAGGAACCGCAAGCAGTCACTACGAAAATAGGTTCGTTCATTGGCCATGTCAGCAAAGCGGAAGGCCGCATTATGCTGCCAGTCGCCCATGGCAACCAGAGTACCGACGAACAGTTCTACATCGTGAAACGGAAAGTACCCACAACGATAAGCGGTACCATTGCGGAACGACTGAACCTGATCAAGCGAGTGGCGTCAGCGGAAAAACACTGCAACCAGACAGTAAAAGAACACGAGGACGTCTTCCATGGACTTGGTGAAATCAAGGGTGTCAAGTCTCACATGAAGCTCAAGCCAGATGCTCAGGGTGTTACGCAACAGCCACGTACAGCCCCAGTAGCCATCCGAGACCAGCTGAAAAGCCACCTAGATGACCTCGTGCAACAGAAAGTGATTGCACAAGTGACAGAACCAACAGAGTGGGTCCACCCAATCGTGGTTGTGAAAAAGAAGGACAAACTCCGACTGTGCATCGATCCAGAAGAGCTCAACAAGGTTTTCATGCGAGAGAACTACTGCATGCCTACACTGGAGGACATAACAGCACGCCTGGAGGGAGCCAAGTTCTTCTCGACACTCGACGCAGCCTCGGGGTTTTGGCAGATCAAGCTAGACACACCAAGTTCGTACCTCTGCAGATCAAGCTCGTCGAACTCGAACTCAGTACTCGGTCTTCTCGGTTGCATTAACTAGTCGTTAATTAACGCTTTCGTGACAGGTGTGCTTGTCATGGTGGCGACGAAAGCCTTCTTTCGCACATGTCTCAGCCGCCTCGGTCAGGGGTTTTGTCGACCCAACCGTCTCTTCCCAGCCGGTTGACAGCGATACTAACGACGGCCGTCACGGCTCTGATCACTATCCACTGGGCATTAGCTATGTGATCATTGGGGGCAACCGCGCCCTTGTAGTTCCCCGTTGCGAAAAATCTCAGTGCGATTCAATTAGTAGCTGCTGCTCGACGGTCATCATCTCTCATCGTCGCCGTCTCTCGTTGTCACACTGCGATCACACGGTGCTTTTCGACAAGCGGTATTGTCGTCAGAAACAGTCGTCGTGCATCGCGAAGGCAACCGGGTGCTCGCGGAAAACCCGTCATTGTACGCGTTGGTCGAGCCATCGTTGAGCAACAAGCATCGCCGCCATTTTCTACGCTCTAGAATCTTGCCCAAAGCTTGTTCCCCTTCGTGCAATAGAAAGAGAGGTTAAAAGCACGAGCACATCACCCCGAACGATCTTGCACGATCGTTGGCTTGCACTGCGCAAGCGCGCCTGCTCGACAGGGACGTTGAAAGCCCGGAGCACGTTCTTGTAGCTACTACACCCGCACTAGCTCGCACTCAGTGAAACAGAGCGTAGGGTGTGTCGAGTAATACCGCAGTTAGTCTAGTGACGCGACTTCCGCTATGTGCTACGTAGGTCGGACGTGGCACATAGCGTCCCAACAGGACCTGACTCCTTTCCAATCTAACCACCCCCTCTCTTTTCTCCTTCTCCAACTCCACCGAGGATTAGGAAAGAGGTTCCTCGAACTGGCGCCTTATCCCCTTGCTTGCCAAAGACAAGGCCAGCGTGTTCTGCTCTGCCCGTGCCTAAGGTCACGGCCACACTCCCAAATGCAACAGAGCTGTTATCTGTCGGATGCAAGGGCCTAATAATGCACTTGCATACAACACAGCACCCCTAAGGAATCGTGCAGACATCCCATACAACCCACCAGGAAAACATATAGTTACATGAAATAACAGGGAGTTTGCAGGCAAGCTGGTGCTAATTAAATATAATGTAAACTGATACTGTAGTGCAGAAATATTAACACACTTTTAAGTCACACTTAAGTTACATTATAATTGACATAGTTGCACACAGCTGTTTTTTGCCTTTCATTTTAAAAAGTAAAGAATGTAATATGTTCCATCCTCTACATGTGCACGTGACAGCGGCTACCCCTTGGAGCCTTGGCTCATGACCCCTGTCCCCGGGAACCACGCAACCTCCACCGCTTGCGGCCGGTTTAATAAGGCGCATTCCTCGATCAGGTTTGTTGTGGAGCGCTGCTTCGGGCTGTTGAAAAACAGATTCCGGTGTCTGCAAAGGCACCGGGCTCTGTATTACCACCCTTCAACAGCCACCGCCATTATTTCGCCATGTGCAGTGCTCCACAACATCTGCCTTGCATCGAGCGAGCCAGAACCGGAGTCAGACTCCGACCCTGAAGAGTCAGAGTTGGAGTCTGAGCCGAGCTCGGACGGTTCTGAGCCGAGCTCGGAGAGGTCAGCGTCGGCTCCCGAGAGGCTGGCTCCTGCCGGCCCTCCGGTCGGCCTTCCGGTCGGCCTCTCGGACAGGGGGAAGGCTCTGAGGCAGCGCCTTGTCGCCCGGTTCGGAACCCGCCGCAGACGTGCCCGTGCGGAGCGCCACACGCAAGGAGTCCGCCGCCACGACGGTAGTCCCGACCACCAGGGACACCGTCGGGAAGCCCCTCAGCGCCCTCGCCGCGGTGGTGCCCAGCATGGACGCCGCCAGCGACAGGGAACCTCTCGCCACCACGACTGAGGTCCTGACCACCAAGGACCCTGTCACATCCTTGCCCTCAGTGAAGCCCTCCCCGTGGAAGCCGTAAAGTGCACACTTCGCTTCCTGCTCCACAGTCATGGCCGTCCACAAGCTACATACTCTCTTCAGCTCCTACACCTTGTGAAGTGCGTCGCACAGCCAGCGTGCTGCCTCCGGATACGTGTCGAGGGCATCGCGTGTGATATCGATACAGACTTTTATTTTTATGAGCAGAAGGCACGAGACGCAGTCGACAGTGACAGAAAAGGTTCACAGGTTTAGTTGCCAGACCAACAGGTCATCTGGATTGCCCCTGCAAAGAACTGAGAATTAATTTAGATTACCTCTAGAAAGAAATGCTTGCTTTAGCAGAGGTTGCTTTCTTAGTTGCTGATTGAACCAGGGATATTGTTGTCGTGGACATTGTTTCATATTACAAATGCTTCAAAGCGTCCTGCCTTCTCCTCCATTTCATTATCTTTTTTATGGCACTTCATCAAAGTTAGGTGATTGTGTTATCTTAAGACAGTGCACGGGTAGTTTGTTTTGAAAATTGCTTTATCTCTTAAAGAAAAACCAACGGAGCCCTGGACTAAGGGCCCCGACCGGGACTCGTCAGTCTCCTAACTTTTTAAAAAATAAAGTTATACCACCACCACCACGACCCCCTGTGACTTCATGAATAAAAGTGTGACAACATGGAATGTAATATTTCAATCATGGAAGTAAAACTGAGCATTGACTGGAACTTTGTAAACAATTGGGCAATCTGAAGTATATATCACAGATATCTTGTTGAACACTCTGGTCTTATTTGAGCACAATAGTTAAATCCCGAAAGGAAAAACAATATATATATTCCCTGACTAGCATGCCACCATATAAACACTGGATCACTCTGAAAGAATTATCACAGATGTTGCTCCAAGCATTCTTATTTGAGCTTTGCAATAGCAAGTTCTCGAAAAATACAAAACTTATTTCTGACTAGAGATGCACCATATAAACACTGGGTCATTCTGAAGAAATATATCACATGTTTTAAGGACACTATGAAGCACATAGTCTCTAGATTGCATATTGTCAGACCTATGACAATGCTACATATAAAAAGCATAAAGACCAAGTTCAATGCTTAGGTAAGACAAAATGAATGTAGCTGCTATTGCAACCCATGACTAGACTGCAGGCCTCTTAAGTTCTCAGTGAAAAATATCTCGACAATGGAAGAACACTTCCTATAGTTAGCGACGGGTTAAGAATTAAACGGAGGCTCCTCCCACCTCTTCCTACTTCAGCAGAGCAAAGGCTGGAGAGGAGCTTGCTTCCTCTCTACTGTTCGCTCTGCTAAAGTGCTAAGAGGTGGGAGGAGCTTCCACTTCACTGTTAACCTGTTGCCGAGTATAGCTGCCGCTGTTCGTCAAACACAAGACAGGGCTTGCTTGGGCATAAATCCGTTGTTGCCCAGCCAATATTTTCTACTTCCTTCACGGGTCATAGCCAAGGAAAAAGGACTAACCGAGCTCTTGGCAATTGCTGTAATCTGACTATTGCGCCAATCTCGGGCTGCAAAATTAAATGGCCGGCTTGGCCATGTGGATTAAATAAAATAAATAAATAAATAAATAAATAAATCTAATGTCCACTTTCAGGGGGGGCGGGGGTTGTGATTGTGGCCAGGGCTGCGGCCAGGGCTGCGGGAGGGGCCGGGGCTGCGGGAGGGGCCGGGGCTGCGGGAGGGGCCGGGGCTGCGGGAGCGGCCGGGGCTGCGGGGGGTGCCGGGGCTGCGGGGGGGGGCCGGGGCTGCAGGGGGGGCCGGGGCTGCGGGCTGCTCCAGCGCCCTGCTGGCCAGCAGGAGGAGCACTTGGACCAGGGTGCTGTGGGTGTTTTCTTGTCCCGAGGCCGCCCTGTCAAGGTTTGCGGAGATCCGCTCCAGGACCTCCAGGAGCTGAAATGGCAAAGGAGTTTTATTAACATTGGGCAGCATATTTTCATACACCCACAGTCTGCCAAGACCTTGCTCATGCCACAACTGTGTCATTCTGCACCATTGTGGACATGCACTGCTTTCTGTGGCCTCGTGGCAGCACCTTGGTCCTAACCATTGTTAGTTGTAAGTGCGTGTAAGGTTAAGTTTGAGCCTGTACCCGGCCTCGGAACTCCCACTCCTCTGCAGCCTGGTCCACGTTCTGCTGCAGCAGCAGGGCCTGTTGCTCCACGGCCTGGATGGCAGCCGCGTCGTGCCGCTCCTGCCTCGACTGCCGGGGGGGAGGGGGGGGGGGGGGGGCGCGAGGCACGGTGGGCCGCACCCACGGCCCCCAGCTTGTCGTTGTGTCTGCCAAGAAACCGAGTATGGGTGATGATGGTGCTCATACCTGCACCACTGATGATAGGTCCCAGATGCCCTAGCAAGAGAGCTTACTTCGTGAGGTGGAGGGCACCGGCTCAGCTGCCATCTGGCGCCTGCTGCTGCTTGGCCTCTCCTGGAAGGGGAATTTATTACAACTCGTGATAACACGCAGCCTTGTCTGTGCTTCCCATTTGTTGACCAAACATTTTGACGAGCATGGATTCTACTCGGAGGAGAACATTTAGAGAATGCCACCTCAGAGACACTCTCACTTTCTTTTTTTGACAACGTTTCCATTGAGTACCGGGATAGATGTCTAGTGCTAGCACATCATCTTCCCAAAAATTACAAGCAAGACACCATAGGGATTTATTGCAACGGCCAGGGGCGAGGTGGCAAAAATGACGCATGTCCCTGTTTGGGTGTCAAACATTAGATTTCGCACTACATGGACAGATGCAATGTCTTCCGCTAGAGCTCCTAATATTTGCAAAAGGTCAACGTGTTTCTTAAATGCACCCTCATTGACATTCCGCGGTGCAGCGCATTGGTGACCGCTGCCCTGCACTCTTTTTTAACATGATGGTAATCGTTGAAGTACGTACCTGCTGGTCGCCCGGTTCACCGGGGACCCGCACCCCAGGGGCCCCGAGTGCCGAATCTGTGCCCACTAGCGTCAGGATCCTGGCCAGGGACTGCGCTAGTGGGCGCACGGTGGAGCTCCCGCCCCCGGTCCTTCTGTTGATAACGAAAACGACTGAATAAATTTCATTGCACTATCAGCAGACTACAAAGATTACCTTGCGGTCTCGTTGAGCTGTGCAGCTCGCTTCCGCGCCTTCATCACGCGCCGGGACCAATGCTCCTTCCATTGCTTGTAACTCTTGGTTGGAGGCCCCAGCGCGTTCAGGCGCAGAGCGAGCTGCTCCCAAAGACGCCGCTTGTCGTCCCGCGTAAGGGCGGCGGAGAGGTCAGTGGCGGTGCGCGCGAGCGACGGGTGCTCACACATGAAGGAGAGTTGCTCCTCCTTCTGAGCAGCCGTCACTCGCGCGCTCCTCGTTGGTCCCGCTGACCCCTCCGCTGCCCCCGGCACCCCCGGCTCCTCGTGGTCCGACCCGTCCGACATTTTGGTTTGAAGAAGGCGCGTGGCGCACATCCCGCATAATATTGGAACAACTTTCTCTCCAATTAATTGTTAAATGAATTGCAAAAGGATACAAAAAAGCGGTTTGTTTTAACAGCGCCGAAAAGGTTTTGATTTTTTTTTTCAATACTTTTACCTGTACTAGAACAGATGCGACGGCCAGCGACGCACAGGATTGGTTGCCGTTCCTTCGCTAAACGCAGGAACTGCTCCCCGCGTCGTAGTAAATCCTACCCCGTATCCCGCGCGTAGGGACGCCTCAGGGAATGCGTAGCTACTTCCGTTCGTCGGTGGTTGGCTCCGGACGTCGCTCAAACGGGTGACAGGCGTCAAGTTTGCGATGACGTAGCAGCGTCAAAGTGGGCAGAGCTGCCACGTGAGTGTTGCTAGGATACGCTCCTCCTTTCCATTACGTCACTTCCATGTACCTTTTCTCAAATGTCCAACCTAGCGATCCAGGTCTTACATCTCGCCCAGAGCCTTTTATACTGGGAGAGTTCGGCGGTTCTTTGATCCAGCCGCCAGTCTGGCAACACTGATCAAACAGTCTGGCAACTGTGCGCATCCGCCATGATGTGCCTTGCCGTCTAGCTTGATTGCACCTTTGCATTTAATTGTATTATAATTGTAACCTTAAATTGCAAGTTTCACCCTTGTTTGGTGTAAGGCTGGTGGCGGCTGATAAAACCCTTTTGCCCTACTGACTCGAGCCGGCAGTCGGCTCGCTAGAGTTCATGGAGCGAGAGACGACGATGATAATGATCGTTCTGCGCTGCGCTCTGCCAGACGTTAGATGAAAAAGAAATGGGGGGCTGCAGTGCCGTTGGGTGCTCGAACAACGCGAGAAAGGGGTTCAGGATGCACCGGTTCCCGCAAGGAAAAGAAAACCGCGCAAGGCACAAGATCTGGGAAACCAAGAAGGGCTGACTGGAAGCCGAGCTCTCGATTGTGCGAGGTAAGTTTATGATTAACGTATGATTAACGTAACAAAATGCTTGATTTTTTTACTTTCTGCTTACGCCAACAAAAGCGCAAACGGCAAAACCTACACGCGTATACATCGCATGTCAATGGGGACCCACTCGCCGGGAGGCACATCATGGCGGAAGCGGCGCCCGCTGAGTCCGCTAGACCTAGCGGGCCGTAAGCCCCTCCCACCCGCCGGACTCTCCCAGTATAAAAGGCTCTGATCTCGCCAAGCGTTACATCGGAGACGTTAAACGCCAGCTCACTGTGCTCTTCGACCCGGTCCTGCCGCCGAATGGGCTCATCCAACAGCACGAAAGTATTCGTGTGCGCGTTGATCAAGTGACCGATCGCATGTCAAACCCCAGCCGCGGTCGATCCGTCGAGCATCGCGGCCATGTTCTTTCGAGTTTAACTCGCCAAGGGTACGGTTGTCGAGTTAAAACAATGCAAATAGTCCCGTGCATTCTTGTTCTTACGTCATTTTGTCGTCACAACCCGAACTCGAAAAATGACTGTTAGCGGCAAACAGAGGCTTTCTAGTTTCACGAACGTTTCCATGGCAAATGGCGTTAAATCGTCACGCGCAATGAAGCCAATGGGAAAGCGAGGTACCTATGTAGGGACGTGTAAATACGTAAAAGCCGTTTTTTTTTGCACGAGCTATTCTGCAAATAAAAATAAATAAAAAAGACTGCCCGAGATTATGCCGTCGCGGGCATTTCTTCAGCGCCGAAAGATAAGAGCATGGCTTATGGAGACTATACCGGCATAATCCCTGCAGTGAGCAAAGGAGCAAAGCATTATTAAAACTGCCCGAAGAAACTTTCCTGCATCATCCACAGAATGCACGCAACCGTTGCACTCTGCGTCGATCTCATGACTCTTCATATACTACGTCAGCTCTGTATCCATTTGAAGTCTCCTTCACAGGCAAACAGGAAATTTCATTTGCAGCTTATGTTCACGGCGGCTTCACAAAGGATGATCGGTGTCGCAGCGCACCTTTACGTAATATTTTTTTTTTCGTAATGCCTTCCGTATTGTGCAGAAGCAGGGAAAGCAACGACGCAAACGAGACACAAACACCACAAGGTCGTTACCGCGGTTTTCGCCATGTTTGTTTTCAAAGACCGTAGTGAAAGACTTTGAGAAAACAAGCTGAGATATCTTATCTAAATTTACTTTACGTCATAATTATTGAAATAATATTTCGTATTTTATAAAAAGATAATATTATTTTTCTCCGTTTCCTTCCATTTTCCGGAAGGTAGCCTTTTCTCCGTTATTCGCTCGTTTTAACTCCCGGAGGAAAGAAAGAAGATAACAAAAAGAACAGGGGGAAATGCGGGGTTTCTGCGCCCCAACTGCGTGGACACGTCATCGCGACGTAGGGGGATCGTCAGATTCTAGCTGACCGTGTGCGTGAACCGGAACGTTGGGGCGGAGCCTCAAACGAGAATCATTCTAGTTTGAGGCTCCGCCCCTTCTTTCTCGATACGTCACAACTCGAAAGGTTCCGTTTGCGACCAGAATAGCACCCCAGGATAGCACCCCAGGAAACCTCCACGAATGATGGAACACCCCATAGTTTCTACGGAAGCGCTAGTCCGAGAGCATGAAATGCTCACGGTCAACCTACTCCCGGCGTCTGTCTCTTTGTTGGACAGACTGAGGTCCAAACTGAAGAAAGACCCATGCACGGCAAGGGTAATGACGTACTGCGAAAAAGAGTGGCCGGGGAGAGAAACGTTACCTACGGACATGAAGAGATTTGCTACCCTTTCCGCACAGCTGAGCACTACACAAGGCCTACTACTGCGCAATGATAGGCTTATTATTCGACGGAGCCTCCAGAAAGAAATATCAAAGCGACTTCCCTGTGGACATCAGGGGGTCGTTCGGGGCAGAGCACGAGCAAGAGATTCTGCGTGGTGGCCCGGAATTAGAGAACAGATGCAGGACTACATCAGCCGGTGTAAGACATTCAGCATCGACGACCACCCACTGAGCCTCTGCTTCAGACTCTTTTATCTGATCGCCCGTGGCAGGAGCCCGGAACAGACATTTTCGAGCTCAGTGGAAAGAAGCACATAGTAGTCATTAACTGCTTCTCGAACTTCATAGAGCTGAAAGAACTTTCACGTACATACACAGAACACACAACAAAAGTGTTCAGCCAGACATTCGCCATACATGGATGCCCAGAAATACTACAGTCAGATAATGGACCTCCGTTGCGATCGAGCGACTTTCGAGGGTTTACGAACAAATAGGGAGTCAAACTGGTGGCTTTAAGCTTTTACTACGCTCAAAGTAAGGGAGAGGCTGAGCAATTCGTACAAACAGCGAAAAATCACCTCAGCAAATCACCCAATGTAGCATAGGCTCTTCTAACCCAGAGAGCAACTGCCAGGGCCAGGAGGTCTCTCTCCATTGGAACTTCTCATGGGGAGGAAGTTACGTTCAACAGTTATGACGGCGCCAAATACACTGAAGCCTCAGTGGCACCATTTACGCTTGTATAGGCGACAGTACGGCGAACTAAAAACATTAAAAGCTTCGCACTACAATCGACGCCACTGTAAAAGAGATCGCAGTACGATATCTCCTTACTTAGATGTATGGATACGCGCGAACGAAGCCTCTCAAGGAGGGATACACCACCAGTCTTGGGTAAGTTTCTTTTAAAAAGTTATTTGTTACAGTTACAGTTACTTTCACATAAAAAGTAGCGAAGTTACCGTTACAGTTACCGCAACAAAAGAGTAACTCCTTACAGTTACAGTTACTTCTAAAAGTAACGACGCTACTTTTTAGTTACTTTTCTACAACACAAAAAATTAGGAAAGACTGAAAACACTTCTCACCAAGTTTTATTGCATAAAGTTAAAAGTACGGTGGTTTACGCTTTTGTTAGCAACCACCTTTACCACAGAAAAATTCTCTCTGTACGCCGGCGGGCCATGATATTTCTACTTTGTTCTCATCAACATCCCTATCCTTAGTAGCACTAGCCCATTGCTGGCTCGTTGACGGTTTCGTTGGGTTCATAGGGTCCCTGCACATATTTCACTTCGTACCCTGCAAGCCAGAAACAAACCCCGCGCAAACAGCATTAAATGTTGCCTGGACTGTTGACACCGCGCCGGTGTAGTGACGTAAATCAAAATACGCCACTACTCCGGCGTCCCGCGTGCCATTCGCGTGTAGTGTGGTTTCACGGTTGATGCACTTAATTAAAAAGCTTTCGCGCAGAAAAGAAAAAAAAATGCAGCTTAGATAGTGCTTAAAGATACTAAGATGTACGTGTTGAGTCATAAAGCGCAATCTCATTTGTAAAGATAACTAGATTTTTTTTTTCATTAATTCTACACATGGCTATATTTAAGTCGTGACTCGCGAGTAGGAAAGTATACGCAAGTTTTTGTAAGGCCAACTTGACACTCGAAGTGTTGGAAAAGACAACTTGGAAAGTGCAAGGAATAGCTAGACTGTACTCGTTCAGTGATATATTATTCATAGAAAACTGGAAAGTAACAACAAAAGTAACGTCGTTGCTTCCATCGTTACCTAAGAAAAGTTAATAGAACTACAGTTACAAGTTACCAAAAAGAGTAACAAAGTTACAGTAACGCGTTACTTGTAACGCGTTACTACACAAGACTGTACACCACAAGGTGGGAATGCCGCGGTCTTACGTGGTGGACACCAGTCAAGGTACAGTG